ACCACCTTCTCACAATCAATCGATCACTGTTCGTCGACCACCCTTTCACAACCAAGCGAGCTCTGTCACTCTAACCACATTCTCATTATCAATCGATCACTGTTCGTCGACCAACCGCTCATAATCAATCGATCACTGTTCGTCGACCAACCGCTCATTACCAACGACCTTTGTTANGTTTCCTATCTTATAATTAGATTTTATTGTTATTCATCACGAGCAAAACAAAACAGTTTTTATTGAGTCCAAATATAATTACGGACTTGACTTTTTGTTGGCCAGCCTTTGCTCGGCTTTCTCAAAAAAGTAGTTCACACGCAAGAGACACCCTAGGTGTTTACTCCCTCCTGCCATTGATCTTGTGGTATTTTTGGCCGAAAGAGGTGTCAACCTTTTTGAAAATATTTGAAGCTAAGCTTGTACTAGATGCTGCATGGTACAGTTCTGCATGTGCTACGATAGAAATTATAGCAAAGTTTGGCACAAAGACTGAAGCATGTCAAGTCTGCTCGGAAAATGAAATGTTCGTGTTTTGTTGTGATGTAATGATAATATAAAGTAGCAAAAAAGCTGCAATAAGTGAGAGAATAGAGTCTGTATTGCATCATCACGTGAATTCATTTTACAGTTAATAAATTTGCATAAAATAAACCTATTTGCATTTTTTGTATCGTTATGTGAAATCGTTCTAGTACAGGGCAAAACAGCAGTTTATTAGGTCAATAATATCACTCGTTGTCTACCCATTACGCATGCTCTAACAGTGGCATCACAGAAGGGGGTATATGTTTGGAGGTGCTGAAAGTGTTAATCCCTCTAAGCCSCTTACTAAGGCCAAGGTTATACATTGGAGTTCATAAGTGCTGAATGCATTCACGTGCTAAATGCATATGAGGTGTAGCATAAAAAGAAATTAATTGGCCATTCCGAAATATTAAAGGAGACTGGGAACGAGTACGAAAATTGTTTAAATTTGGCATTTCAAGTTTGGAATATAGATTAAAGGACCCCCCGGTCACCATGTTTTCTGATATGGCGGAAAACACAGAAGAAATTTTCAAACCGGCGACAGCCTATGTGATTGTTTATAAAAAAAAATTGATCGCTAAAAGAACATCCGGGCTTCAATGGGAATTGAGCCCATGACCTTTACGATACCGGTTCAGTTCTCTACAAACTGAGCTATGAAGCAAACTATGTTGGCAAGCGGTCATTTCATGGTGTGAATCAAAAACTGAAAATAGACAATGTCGGCACATGTGAAGTTCAACGCATTGTAGCATAGGTTTGAATTCCTTTTGTATTGCAAAAATTTCAAAAGAATATATTTGACGTCAAGTGCGGAGAAAACAATACCTCGGGACTTATTAAAAGGGTGTATAATATCTATAGACGTATAAATGCGCTGATGTGGTACTCTGGGAATTTGTTCGAATGGCACACGTCCTCAGGGAGGATCGTGACTTTCAACTTTTTTTTGTGGCTCTAGTGATCTCACACTTCTTCCTCTCTCATTGCTAACAGCTAGTGCATTGCATACATTTTTCTTTTTTGTAGAGTGATCGCACTTAAACTGTGCAACTGTACAAACTAAATAGTGCTATTTAGTTGTATTTAGTAAATCGTGAATGTGGTACGCAAATTGAATTGAATTGATAGAGTGATGGCACTTAATCCGTGCAACTGTACAACGAATTAAATAGTTCTATTTAGGTGTATTTAGTAAATCGTGCATGCGGTACGTAAATTAAATTGAATTGATAAAAATGAAGCATTCAATACCGTCTTTCTTCAGGTCCACTTTTAGTACAAATTAGTACTACTAAGATTTTGTGCAGTTGCACGGTTTAAGTGCGGATTTACTAATCATAACTAAATAGCACTATTTAGTTTGTACAGTTACAAGGTTTAAGTGCGACCACTCTATCCATTGAMTGAATGTGAAGAACTGTTTTGCGATGTTCACAAACGTTTTATCCGGTGACTGCTTATCCGGTGACTGCTTGCGTTTAGTTCTATTTTTTCAGGCCTTACTGAAAGCGTTGATCAAACAGTTAATAACGCTAGGGGACCGCATGTATCGGGCATTTCGTAATATACCTGTAGATYTTGTTACCCTAAAATGATAAATGAATCTGCCAAAACAAGCTCCGGAAATCAAAACAGTCCATTGACCCTTGTGAGATTGAGATGGCTTTTGCCAAGAGACGAAGAAGATTATCATTACCACCGACGAAGCCGTTTCCTGTAGTCGGTAATACACTTCAACCAAGGGGTACGGAATGTGGTGAAAATTAATCTAAGGCCTGAGCGAAAGTACCTCACAGTTCGTCAGATTGCAATTTAGAATCACCGTAAAGGCCCGTTTTTTGCAGCGCGATTGTCGCGCAACAATCGCCTGAGTTCCGAACATGCGTGAAATTTAGCTGCAACTCGCGGCGATTTTCGATCGCCGCAAATCGCAGGGACAGCCCCGTACGATTTTACACGTACGATTTTAGGTGTGCGATAATAGCAAAGTGGTAATTGTCGCGCGACTTTCGCGCTGCAAAAATTGCAAGTGTAAACGGGCCTTAAGAATTCGACGATATGACTAGTTTTTCATTGAATATAACATTAAAAAAATAGCCACTTTCGTTTTATAGCAGATCTGAAATTACCAAATTTCGAAAGAAAGATGAAAGAAAGAAAGATGAAAGAAAGATGAAAAATTTACCGATCTGTCACACTTATCTATTTAAGAAATTTTTATACAGTTTTGTTCCTACTTTGGAATACCCGACAATTCCTTTCAGACTTATATGAAGCACCGTCGCGTAGAGAACACAGACAACAGCAAGAAAATCATTTTAAACTCGAGTAACATGATTTATGCGCTTGGGATGCCTGTGTTAGYATGTCRSCAAGTGCTCAGGCAACCAGCCCGCATGCTATGAAGACCAAAAGGAGTACGTCCAAATAACATTCATTCACAGGGATTTTCAGGGTGAAAGCTCAAACGCTCGGACAGTGCTGGCAGCATGATAGAGCATTAAAGGCTGCGTTAAACGTCTTTTCCATATGTTTTTTAAAGAAGAAAAGGTCAAATCCTCGGAATTTGGCCGTAAAATAAATATTTAGGATTGACGGAAGGTTTAACGGATATTACTGTARGAAATACTAGCATGTGCCTGAACAGGTTTTGATTATATACACCGGAACTTCAAGAAAACCTAAAATCGTTTTGCTAATGTCAAGTTGAAGCTYTTTCTAGAATAAAATATCATGCATATCACTGGTACCACAGGAAGCCCAATCYTTAAACTGGTCCTTTCTCTATAACCACAGGTACCCCAAGCTAAGTGTTTAAGACGCGTTGGGGAAAGGCAGTTAGGAATCACTCAATATTGAAGTAAAGGTCCTGAAACTTCACACAAAAATGTAAAAAAAAAGCACTAAAAACACATAGATAGAGAGGTTTTTTCTATTGAAATTTAGCATTAAAAAAACACGACACACACACAAACAACTAGCTTGGAAAACCTGTTCTACAACTCAGAAAAAAAGTTATGAAAATATAATCAAACCTTCATGGATTTTTTCTTATAGTATTTTTGATTTCTAGAAGCGATTTAAGGCTGACTTTATAGTTTTTAATTGGGTCATCTTTGTGGGTGGAAGCGGTCTCATCTAAAGCAAGTAAATCAGTTTGAAATCGTTACCAGAGATCAGTAGAGTTAAAACAAACAATCCCTGAAGGTTTGAATTTACGACGTTACTCCCTTTTTAAATTTCCTCGATTTTAGAGATTGGGCTTCCTGTGTTGTCYACGTTAATTCGGCACATTTTATAATGAAAACATAAAGAATTAACAACTATTGAAAACTGATGTTATGGAAATATTGATATACGGAAGCTGTGATGCAACATACGGAAAGATCTAGAAGAAAAATTGCCGATGGCAGTATTTGACCTGCTCTGATTGGTCCAAGAGCATACTGACGCAACCGCAAGCTCTCCGAGAATGCTGGCTTATTTACCACAGAAATGATAAAAATAWAGATAACATTGCAATAGTTTATTTAACAAACAGATCCAATTTTTCCAAGTGTCTGTACTCTAATAGATACACTGATGACGTCAAAATGAGAGCAAAATAACACGCCACAAGAGGAAGACGGACTCAACAGGGCGACCGCACTAGTTCTGACCAATAAACGCACATCCGCTTAAGATTGAATGGCGTCATCCGTGCTTAGTACTTGGAGCGGATTTCGTACGACTGTGCACTTTCGTGCCGTGTCTGTACCGTGCCGTGACGGTGATGTATTATTGATTTATTATTTTTATTTGGATCCCTACCAGGCGAGGTTCCGTGACCGTGCCGTGTTGTGATCCGTACCTTTTTCACGGTCATACGAAATCCGCTCTAAATAACACAAACGGCCCAATCCAAGAGAGCGTAATATACTAACTATTATATAATACTGAATAAGAAGACTTTCATTGAGGATACTCAAAATGTCAAAATCAGTCGCGACTTCTCTTYCAAGACAATTCTTGGCGTGTTTTTCAAGTTCCGAGGCGGCGTTATCTCACCGAYTCCATGCAAAGCAGATATCCTTTAATGCTTAAACGCTTTTTAGGCGGGCTAGCCATAGGCGATTTACGAGCTATATACCACAGGGACACCGAACGAAGCTTTTGGTCGAAAGACTATACCATCGAAACATCAATAACTTCTCTTTCAATTTTTAAGATTAAAAAGTGAGTTAGCGTCTAGTTAGGATTGAAAACAGGATTCTGAACTCTTTATAGAACGCAAAGAGTATGAGGAATACCAGATACATGATATGACACAGTAAAGCAGAAAATAAATAGAAATATAAACTCTCGCATAAGACACCATCATACGATTTGAATTACCAATGCGCAACAAGGACTGATCCAGGGGGGTTGGGTAAGGTGCCCATTAGTTCAACGTGCATCTCAGTAACGCCGTAAAAAAGACCGAATGGATCATTAGATTTCGTTTCCTAAGGTCAACCCCCTGACACATTTCTAGAGCTGAATTTGAGCTAAATTAATGACACAGCACACAGGTGCTACATTGATAGAAGACAAAATGTCTTTTAGAAGAGCATAAYTTCCTATTTATAACTAGACTGGAATCAAATGTAAGAATGTCAAAATAATCAGATAAGACGTCATAAGGTCAAGCGCGAGTCACCGATCTGCCCAGACCCGATGCGGACGCGTCAAATATTTCCCGCCTTTGGAGAAAGCGCGCGAAAATGTAGCAATTTAGTACCGAGAATTATCTGGTAAAGGACAATGAACTAAAATCTCGATAGAGACGGCATCTAAATATAAAGCAAGCATTAGAATCAGTTCATATAGTGCTTTTTGTCATGCTGCTGAAGATTAGGCAATGCGTGTCTGTTCAGAGGGTCATTTAGTGGATGCTGACTGAAATTCAGCGGGTCAACAGCCATCCAGATTATGACACGATTCTTTGCTTCTGCCCCAACACACACATGATTTAATTAAATGGTTGTTTTAAAAGTTGACGTTGTCAAGGTTTTTAGATAATGAATGCCCTTTTCATATTTTTAAAGTATATGCGCTCTTTCATGCTCTTTCAATGGTAATTTAAGCACGCTCTTCGATGAGTTAAAATTTCTATGTGGGAGACTGACACGGGAGATGCCGGATGGGTGGATTCAATCGATGYTCGTGTGGATTTACAAATTTCTGTTTGTTTTTCATTGCGGCTTTGCTCCTTTGCGGTCGTTCAAACGTAAAATTGTGGATTTTTTTGAAAGATTTCTCGTATGGATTTAATCTTTTTTCCTTTCGAATTTGAGGATTTTTAAAACCACCTTTGGTTATCAATAGAAAAAAAACAAAATATTTGGGGCTGAAGAGAAACTCGAAAATACTTTTTTAAAAGAACACTCCATGCGCTCGGAATATGGAACCTTTTTTTGGTGATTCGATACCATTTGTACTCTTAAAAATCAAAATTAAACACTAAAAATACGACTAAAAAACCTTTAGCGATCAAAGTATATTAAGTTGTGCTGAATTAACCGGTTTCTTGGTTTACTACAGAACTTAATAGTCCGAAAAAATATAAATTAATTTATATTAATTTATATTAATTTATAATTAATTTTTGATAAATAAGTTTGCGCTGTATTGATTACTGTAATTGTAGTGGTTACGAAAATGAAATTACTATACTAAAACCCGCTACATATTTTACTTTTATGTAGGCGTACTGTAGGCGTATTTGAAGGTGGAATGCTAGAGTAGTCTGAGACAAAACAATTCTGCTTTGTACGACCCCAAATGTCTACTAACCTTTCATGGAATAACAGCTACACCTTGAGTTCATCTGTGTGTCAAGAAACATCATAAGAGAGAGTACTAGTGAAAAAGCGGACATGAGAACCAGCATAAAGAWCAGCACCGTTCTGCATTGCGAGGGCATCCTTACACCCTTGGCTGTTTTTGTAGTGTCGCATTTCTCTTCAAAGGAGTCTAAGTTCCCAGCTATGGAAATGTTTTCATATGTGTTTTGACAAAGTCCATCCCTCTGTAGACTGCTTTCCAGTGAAGTTGGAACCGTCATTTCTTGGCTGTCCGTACTCGATCTRCTCACGTTGTCCACATCTCCAGTGTATGCCGAGTTTGTGAATTGTAATGGTACATCGCTGCTTRYACTGCACTCTGAGATGTGACGCGCTCGGCGAATCTCTGGTCTGACCTTGAAGCGAGGAATACTCATAGTTTTGCTTTGAATAAGTTAAAGAAGAACTCCAACGCGTAGCCAGCCACGCTTTACAGACATTCGTTTTTTCTACTGTGGCATGCGGCAAAACTGACCTTTTATAGGACAGCAAGCCGGCCGGTAGCATTCAGAGAATGTAAATACCCGCCAAATTAACTTACAATTGGCCAGYACTCTATACTAGGGTCAAAGGCCATATTGAATCTATGGGTTTCCTGTGGTGCGCCTATATGGTGTGATAGTSAACTCGACAAGGATTTGTCGTACGATTTCCATATATGCATAGTGRAWTTCGTGAATTGGTGTTTGTATTGAACAATTCAGGATTTATATTTTTTTCACATTCAGGATATTTTCACATCGTACAAAAGGAGGAGAGAGCATGAGTWGCTCACGTGAAAATATCAAAAGTCGTGTTTTTGATGTTTCAACTGTTTTCTCGTTATAAATGGGTATTAGCATGCAAATGATTCAAAATTGTTTTTACAAAAAGTTTCATGTAATGTTTAAAGTCCGGCAATTGGGAATGGACATAAATTTAACGGGGAATCTTCTTTGATTAAGGGACAAACGATTAGAAAAACTAAGAGGGAGGAGAGAGAGAGTTGGAGTTAGAAAAACTTCAGTGCATAATTTTTTGTCTTATTTTGATGATTTTTCAGAGATCTGCAAGATATGGTTTTTGTACCTGCGTGATCACGTGCGAGATTTATTATTATTATTATTATTTTTCAGGATAATTTTCTGCGCAGATTTTTTTATTTTGGCAATTGCCGCACCCTCCCCTCCCATCTGGGCTTATTTACATGGTCTTCCCCTGATATGATCGCTCGCACACAGATTGATTCTCAACGATCCTCTTGACTCACGAGTTGGCTAGAGCGGAAGTGCTGTTATCACATGTTCGACTCAAAATCTTTGCTACGTCTCCCCACACACTTAAAATTGCTGAATTAAGTCCATTCATTATGGAAAGATTTTCCCTAATCAATGTCCGATCTATGAAGAGTGAAAGGGGAAAATAGCAAGATGCAAAAAAATAATAATAATAATAATAATAGATTTGATTGAAATGGATGAACGAGCTGGATGCGTGAATTTATTAATAATACTAAATGAGAAATGGATGGGAGAATGTGGGATGGACGATTGGAAAGATGGATGAATTCTTCGATGAAGGCTTTAAACTATATCTAAGAAAAATATATAAATAAATAAATGATAATAAGACGGCTTTGTGTCTCTGTTCTCCGACATAACATGTCAGATGGAAAGCAGCGAKGWTCTCTTTTASTTTTTGCCGACYACTCTCYATYATCTCTAGCCACCAGACGCAGACTGCTGTTTATTTATATGTCTTTTGCACTGATTCTYTTYCTAGCGTRYGGGCATGTCTCTCTTTTCTTAAATAAACACATCTTTCAGCCAATGAGAGTGGCTGCGCATATATTCATGAATGTATGGAAACAAACTTGACCAAAACTTGGCAAAATGCGACCCTATCCATATATAGATTATTAATAGCAAATCTCGGTGGTCCCCGTTATACTAACACTAGCTTCATGTAGATTGCCTGTTATTCCTGTACAAACAAGTTTCAATAAGAGGCCATAAGCCTTATCATCCGGTAAGTGTCTATAAACCAGATTAGAATAGAAAAGTACAGGGAATTTGATATTGCTAATCCAAATCTCTTTTTAAATCAAATTTAATTTCCGAGACACCTTAAACCTTTGGGAGAAGTTTATGTCCTAGGGAGAGAGAACGAGAGAGATCACCGCCATCGCCGCCATATTAATGCTATCATACGCGAGTTTGCATTGATTTTGCATTTTGAAAACCATGATAAAAATCCCMTGTTCGAAATCACCTGAAGAGAGGCGATCAAAGTAACAAAACAGTCTCGTGGGGATGAACTAAGGTGCGACAGTGGCATACCGGGAACTTGAAATCAGGATTTTTTCCCAAATATTTATCAAATTTGTCAGAATCTTGGGTGTAGCACGTGTCCCTTCTCCGTGATCCCCTTACACCAAACCCCACCCCACCCCAACCCCCTACGCTCGTTCATGAACGTATATAGTCATTGTTAGAGCGGATCTCGTATTAGTGGGAAACGGATGGTACTGTGCTGTGACCGTAATCGTACTGTAACCAAATTCTAGTGTCTCATTGGTTCACAAAAATTGTGCATGCCAGGTCACCCCCTTCACCCCCTTCACCCCCTTGAAAAAATCCTGGATCCGCCCTGTCTTGTAGCTTGCACGATTTCATAAAAAACTGGGTACAAGTCCCTTTATTCGCACGATGGTGAGATATAAGACTTATGTAGAACGATGATCGCATTTGTGAATAAGAAACTCAAAACGTTTGTGGTTGATAAGATTAAATGTAAACAAATGTCAGCTTTTCGAAAATTCTTGATTTTACAAAAAAATGTATGGGAATTTATTAGCAAAATCTCAACATGGTCTCATGCCTAAAAACCAATACTCCAGTTTCGAATTCTCCAATGCTCTGTGTTAGCCTCACTTGTGCGCAAAATATTCCTTAGTTGTGAGCGTAAAAGTGTGAGATTTCAAATCAATTCTATTGTCTTTCGTTTCAAATTCCATGCGTTTTCTCGAGCTATCAATGAAACAAAAGAATATGTTACTTGGTTTTGAGGCTAACACAGAGCAAACCAGAACTCGAAATTGGAGTATTCCCGAGTGCATTTATCGGAGTGGCTGGCCGGGTTACATTTTGAGTAATATAATCCTTTCGACATGATTGGCAAYATGATGATAATATATAACCTTTTTGGGAACAAGAGTGCCCTGAAAATCCGCACGCAGCGTCTGGCATTCTACACATACCTTCAGAAATTCGAGYGTTTTTGAAAAGCTGAAAATCGTTTAATATTGACCTGATCGACGCCAATTTCGGWCAGTTAGTATTTCTAATACTCATTCTTTCGTTTTACATAGATCCTATTAAGCCATCATTAAAGGGACTTGTACCTAGTCTCCCACGGTATSAAATCAGACAATAGATCACTGTTTGGTATAGTCATACCCAGGACCACTGCAATCTACAATGCCGTCTTTGTTTCTATACATTTCTGTCAACCTTTTTATAACTGGGTGTATGTAAAGAACGACAAAGATCATAAGTGTCACTACTGTTCGCTGCTGTAGATAAATTTCARGTTTTGYGATGATCGAAAAGGTCACATACTTGACCACCTTCGATGGCGGCCATTCTTTGGTAACAGGCTATCTATGACACAATTTTCGTCATCATAAACGTCATAGAAATTACAGACTAGTGATATAACCCGCGAGGCACGGGATTGTGACGTGTTACCACAGGTAATCCACAAGTACAAAGCGCACGCGGTTATGACAGAAGTACATAACCAGAAGTGTCCATCTCCGCATTGGTATCRCCACCATCAGATGTCCCGATAATCTATTTTTAGACAACCAATCACAACGCGCGCACATWTTACACGGCACCTGATTGGTCCTTGTTGATCTACTTCAAGAGCGGACAAGAAAGGAAAATTATGTAGTCGATGGAGGCGAACAAAGTGAAGTTTTCATTTACGAGAATTTTACACCTTTTGCTGAACAACCATTTTTGAATTCGATAGAAAACATTCTTTACTATATAAGCAATGTAGCGAAGGAAGTTCAAGAGCAATATAGTCTGCAAAAACAAGAGAAAAGTTCAGACAAAGATGAAGAAAAATGCAAAACAGCGTGCTAAGAAAAGTAGTGTAAAGTAGCTTCCTTACAGTCAAATAGAGCTGGACTTAAACAAAAGCTGATGAAACATAGATTATCGGGACATCTGATGGTGGCGATACCAATGCGGAGAATGACACTTCTGGTTATGTACTTCTGGTTATGAATCAAGCAAATAAAGCGTGGCTTTAGAGTTTTCGAGAATTTTTATTCAAGTTTGAAGGAGAAGGCTGCCTGTGGACTCCTTGTCAAAATGTATGAACTATAGAATTTTCTTTTTTATTTTCTATTTCAATATCATATCTAGATGAATCCATAGAAAGCTGTTATCGTTTTAATTTACAAAAGCATATAGATTGCTGTATTACATTTCGCCAGCAGGTTACTACTACCTGCGGACTCTAGTTTAGTTTTATGCGCGCGCTCACGTGAGTGACGCCTGACTGTTTTTCTGGTTGTTATCGTGTCCTCCATTTTTGTAGTGTTCACGAATAAAGCTCATTCGTTGTGTCGTTCGTGTTATCTTCTGGCGTTTACTAAAACTAAAACGAAATGTTAAAGGTCCATGGTCAACCGCCATTCAATGCGGTCGTCGTGTTTTGGATTTTTCATGGAAAATGACCATACCCTTTTTTTTCTTTTTTTACCCTTTTTTAATAAAGCTTAAAAGCTTTAATATCATTGGTAAAATAATTTCCCAATACAAATGATGACTACAAAGGCGAAAATTACACTACAAATTATAGTTCCATACCATAATTCCATGAGAAACTGTTTATTAAAAGCATCGACAAAGATAATTTAATTTGATCCCTTCTGCTTTTAATTATATTTATTTCTCTGATCAGCGGTTGTCGACAGCAACATAGCTTACTCTGTACCTCATTTTCACAAATTTTCGCAATTATATTAGCGATATTTGCCGTTTTGTTTAAAGCATATCCAAAAACCATTTACGTGAAAAACTCTATTACATTTCATGCCCTTCTTAGTTTCCTTCTTAGCTGGCGAAAACGCAAAATTTATGTCCATTAAATATGCTTTTCTGTGATTTCGCAACCTTTCATGAAAATTTGTATGAATAAGGTACTTTAGACATTCCCACAATGCATTTCGCCGATGTCATTATAGAAGAATACGATATTGACGCTGTCAATAACGACATAACTTAGCGACTCCAATGATGKATTACTTCTTTGTCACTAGGCTTGTGATTAGCAAAAGCTGGTACATTATCGGCCGCCATGAGATAGCTCCAAACCCGAGTGAATTTCTCAGGTATCTCGAAATTTTTGGCTTTTCCAGCGATTCGTATCAAGTGCAGAATGGGAAGCAAATAGGTGTCTGGAAATTTCATGGTTTCACCGTCCAGGAAGGTGGTGTTTTGTGCAGTTAAAGTGATGTCCAGCCAGTGTAGATCATTGAGTAAGTTTGCTTTGGCTTTTTCTTCTCTTTCTTTGTTTCGCATCATCATACGAAATGATGAGAGGAAATTCCGGCGTTGTAGTTCTGTAGAGAGGGGAWAAATTCAATGAGTAATTAACATAGAAAGAAAATTGTGGTGAATCATTGCATCATTTCTGGAATTTCAGAGACTGAGAGCTGATTGAATTTCATAATTATACAACAACGAAATTCAAAGTATTCCAAAATTTTGGCGCGCCTCACGTCCGCGCGTACGCACCTCGATGCGCGCCAAAATTTTGGCGCAAACCWGAAGTAAAATTTCAATTCCGATTGACGTCGCCGCCCCAAAAATTGTTGATGCTTAAGCTCTGTAATGTCTTACCTAGYGCAGCCTTRTTKGAACTGGTCAGCTTTTTCGTKGGGTTAGGATCGATCTTTTGATTGGCCATCTCCAGRAACTCGATAATTTCCTCGGTGCTTTCGTCTATAACATTGTACGGCTCGTCTGATCCATAAACCAGCGCTGGAAGCTTTCTGGACGAGATTATGTTCAGGAATTCTTTAATCATCTTGTTAGGGTTGATAGGAATAACCTGGGGACTGATTTCCAGTAAATCGCACACCATTAGAATTTGGTGCGTGGAGTGTAACGGTGCTGGAATATCATCATTACCGTCCGCTGCCTGAATATAAAGTTAAAAAAATAAAAAAATATAATAATATAAATAT